TTGATGTAGCGACATCAACGATGACAACAATGTTAATAACGGGGGGGGGATGATAAACTATCTTTATCGTTCCGGTGCTATCTCTTTTTAAAGAACGCCCCGTTTCTGCGACCGTATCTCATCATTCTCCGTCCGACTATCATAACACATTAGTGTGAATATAATTTATTATTGAGAATAATGCTCGGTAATCCCGCTGACCCAAAACGAAAGAACAATATCCGTGGCAACACACAAACGTAAATATTACTCGTATATCGCGCGCCGTTGCAGCTTCGTGTCATTAGACGAGTCTAATGTTCCAACGAATGTGTTCGAAAATAGGTCGAGACGAGAATCAAAGCGCACAATTCTAACGTGGGAGTACAAGAAGGTCCGTTTCAAATCAGTTCGTATAAAGTATATATATGTATAAAAAATACTGAGAAATTCCGTTGTGTAAATCCAGTCTTAATTGCCGCTTTTAACGTCGGTGTTCGGTAAAAGCAAAAAATACTGAATTATTAATACGCGCAAATATTAGCGTGTTAAAGGAAGTGGGTCGATGCGGGGTCAATTAAAATGCTAAATCAAACACCGATATGAATAATGTAAATTTAATTTATGTTATGTCCACGGAGAGAAAATGAACGTTCCCGCGTCGGCCCGTCATCGCTATTTTGCTAAACAGCGACGATAGCGGACGATAATGGCCTCCCGATGCATGACGGCTCGGGCGTCTTCGATGAGGTCGATAAGTTCGCGCCGGGAAAGCGAGCACTCAGCTCGTTATCCAAGACACAAATGCGCCGCTACTTATCGTCTTATCGCGTAAGTAAATTTCTAGCGGCGGCACTCGCGCACTCACCTTCTATAAGTCGACCAAGTAGTTCGCACTCTTGTCGCGTGTCGTTAGCCTTATCCATTATTCGGTTACTTCCCACTTTCCTGGATAAGTGAAACTCGTCGAAGTTATGCCGAATAACGCTCCGCGTTCCGATTCGCCACAACTGGCAAGAAACTGCGACGAATGTTATGTTTGCTAAAGAAGTTTTTTTATTTTTCAGTTTTTTTTTTTATTTTTGTGCGCGTCTTTCTTCTTTTAATACTTTGCAAACAGTTTCTTTTTCTTCACGGAAGAGACGGAATACAATATAAAAAATGTGCACCACAACATGCAATATCGTCTTTTCTCTTCTCTCGACTCTCTAAAAATTGTCCTACAATTTATCGGCTCTTCTTAGACGTAAAAGTGTCGAGTACTTTGGAGAAATCCGATTTTCATCTTCATTGCATTCTGTTCTATCAGTGCGCCGCGCGTTAGCGTAACTCGCGCGCGCGCACATCTCGTTGAGAACCTGTTCGTGAGGTAAGTGCGAGATAAGAGAGAAAACAATTCTTGTTCTATCGCGCGCCGGATGTTCCCACGAACTTTTCAACTACATCCTCCCCGTTAGTTCTAGAACGCGCAGTCCGTGCGCGATTTCTGGCTCTCAATTTCCGGTTCGAAACGACGAGGCTTCGAGCGAGGTGGTGGGCGGGACGCGATCGTCTTTCGAACACCTGAAAAGCACTTAAAGCGCTGCGAATAGCAGTTGAAGCGATAAGGAACAGTGATAGGCGCTGGTGCTCTCAGATATCGATACTCACGGCTGACGATGACAACGCTCGAGAGAACAGCTTCTCTTCGGAAGAGTATGGAAAGTTATGAGTCAGCCGCGTGCACCTACCACAAGTTCACTTTGTTATCAGAATTCAGCAGTTTTTTCAAACTGCTCGATGCCAATTACGATGCGCTTGTTGTGACATCGGTAATTAGTGCTACTTTTTTTTTTTTTTTTAATGAAAGGCGCTTGACTCGCTTGCGATAATTCTGACGTAAAGTCAAAGACACAAAAGCAAGCTGAATCCTGAGTAATTGGAGAGCTCGCTTTAAAGACAATTTGAAGTAAATAATGATAAAATATATTATAGATTTGCATTATTTTTTAAATATATGTGTATACGTATATTATGTTGTAAACGTGAATGAAACTGTGAATCGATGCCCTTCATTCTCAGAGCCGGAAATTGCAATAGATATTTCTGGTTATACATATTTTTCCACAGGAAGCTGCAACCTATATGCAGTAAACTACTCAACTGCGTAGAAAAAAAGCGACGAAAATGGCTCTATTTCTCGGAATATATGTCGCAAATTTTCTCTCTTTTCTCAAAGACCGACGTTTCGTCTCGGCTTAACGCCGTCTGCTTCCGTCGTTTAGCATTTTTTTCGCTACTTCTCTCTCTCTCTCTCTCTCTCTCTCTCTCTTCTCCACCTTTTTTCTACCCGTGTCTCCGGATTAAATATTCACGAGAGGAAAAATGGGGACGATTCTTCCGCCACGAACTCGTCCCGTAAATTTCGCTTGGTGAGCTATAAAAAAGTGCTCTTGAATAAATAATCATTTAAAGAAAACTCTACTTAAAAAGATGTAAGAGCAAAAGAACCGAAAAGCAAAACTTAAATTAATAAAAACCTATTGTTCTAATTAATCTGTCTGTCAAATGTAGTCAATTATTAAATCTTAAATTAATCAAAGATGTGTCATATATTTTTCATAAATAGATACATAAAAAAAAAATCTCTAAAATATTACATGTACGTGTAATACGTATGAAAAATATAATTTATATTTTATAATATAATTAAAAAATAAGATAAAAACGCACATAATAATTATAACGTAATAGGATTAAGTGATAAGTCATACGGTCTATTTAATTACACGATCTTCCGAAGGAGACAAGGAATCATGTCAAATAAAAAATAAAATAAAAACGCACATAATAATTATAACGTAATAAGATTAAGTGATAAGTCATACGGTCTATTTAATTACACGATCTTTCGAAGAAGACAAGGAATCGTGTCAGATAAAGTGGCTGGCAGATAATTCTACCCCAAGGGAATAGTAGGGCACTACATGCATTTCTTATGCGAGACGAGCTCATCATGGTTAAATTGCTTCTATATATATATATATATACGCTGACTATGTGAGAATCTTCAATATAGTGTCAGAACATCGATGCTGAACCTTTGGAGAGTGAAACTCGCGAAACGAAAATCGATCGACACAACGATGATTGCGATACGCTTTATTTACAGCCACGTAGCGAAACAATTACGTGAAACGATATCAAATCGGTTTTCGAAAATTGCCGTAATTAAATCCTCACGATTAATCACAGTTTCGTAATTTTAATATTACGGCGCCGCTATTTTGCGCGGTTTCTCTCGTTTCGGTTGTCATGTAAATTCGGTGTTCGTTCAACCGTGCCCATTATTTCGCCATTATGATTTATGACCTTGCTCGCGTATAGTCATCACATTTCGAACGCAATGATGCGCGGTCAGATATCGAAGGTTTTTTTTTTTCAGACGGATAAAATATTCATCCGCATAACTTGGCGTTCGCGGTCGCGTCGCGATATATATATATATATATATCGACAACCACATCAAATTCCTCATATTTCCTAAAAAAACAGTCACCGTGGCACGAGTAAACTGTTTTGCAAATTTTTTAAATGTAAAAAAAAACGGATTATTATTTTCCGGATCTATGTTTTGCGAGAATTCAGGATTTATTCGATTGTAGTGAATATATTTCAATATTTTTAATTCACACACATATAAACGTTCTCAGAGCTATAATATCGTCACAAGCGACGTCCGCGCAAAAACGCGCGTTCTGCACGCGCGCACACATACACACATGCGGCAGACTACATTTCGAAAACGAAAAATAGTGACCGATTCTGATGCAGACGCGCTCGAGTTAAAAGAAACAAGCGAAAGAATAAAAAAAGAGACTGCCACTGCGCCAATCGGAAAGAAGCATGTGCGTCATATTAATCAACGTGTTTTTTTTTTTCACTTGCACGCGAGTTGGTCACGCCGGAAGGATTCAATACTCTCGCGAGTATCGGGCGAGATTCTTGATCTGCAAAGGGAGGTTTTAATAACTGCGGAAAGGCGGAAGGCGAATACACACACACACACACACACACACAGGCGCAGAAGGGAGACGGAAGAGATAGAGAACGAATGGGAGGAGAGGTGGATGCGGAGTTTAATATGTACGACGATCCTTCTCCCGGAGCGTTATAATCGTCGAGTATCGATCTCAAGCCCATGACGTGGTCCCACTTCGAGGGACTTCGCGTTTGACCAATCACTGGTCTGCTGAAGGATCACAGTACGCGCGTACTTGTCGTTCCTGATCGTCCTATGGCGATTCCGCCTTGTGTAATCAACACACACAGCGCGGAAATCAGAGCAATTCTCAGTCGGGACGCGTAGGAATTTTCGTAGGAATCCGCTCGCCGCTCGTTGCCGCCGATATTACTTTAAAAAAAAGGAAAGAAAAAAAAACCAGCTCAGGATATTGCAATACATCCCGCGCATTTATAACGTCGTACATGCGACGATCCGTTCTCTTCACGTTCGTTTTTATTCTCGTTACGTATGAGCTTCCTCGGACACGCAAACGCCATATTTCATTCTTCATGTAAAAATTTCGAAACGTACGCTTTTTACGCGGTTCGATGCGACAGGATGGGAAGAAAAGAAGGGGAAGAGAGAGAGAGAGAGAGAGAGAGAGAGAGAGAGAGAGAGAAAGAGGCCGCACTGGGGAAATTGCGCAAAACAATATTGGCGGATGAAACGCTCGGCTCGTAATTCTCACTCGATAACTGGCGCGGATTTATTGGCCGTGTGTGAGCGACACGCGTATATGGCGTGGCGAAAGCGTAGATGTATCACACCTCGCCGCGAATAAAACATCCGCTCGCTTTTCGCGAGAGAAACGCCCGCAAATGGCACGCCGCCATTAATCATTACTCGCCCGATTTTTCGGTCGTGCGTTATCAACGGTGATCATGTAGTTCTCTTTTTTTTTTTTTTTTTTTTTTTTTAATGTTATATATCATATACATGAGCGCGGTTTAACAGGGTTTTCTTTTTTCTTTTGCAGAAATACGTCAGCGAAGGATCGACAGTGCGAGATTGCGTGTCCCATTGCGTGGAAAAAGGTGAGTAATAATATACGCCCGCGAAACGAATCCTTCTCGATGCAAAATCTCACCAGCCGAGAATCACTTTGTCCTTAAATTTCTGTCGAATTTATATTTTTTTGTAATCGATTTCAAAATGTCAAAGTGTAGAAGAAGAATTTCAATGTTGTCATCCGTTACAATCTGTTTGCGCGAAATCGTTTATTTGCGAACTTTTTAAGTATCGGAGCGACGCTGAATCCCATGCCCGGCCGTAAAAATAAATTCCTTTGGCAGTCTGGTTGGTCGCCTCGACGGCCAGACAGTTTCCGGAAATTTACCGGGGATAAAGCGACGACCAAATGGGATCCTAAAAAATTTGTGAAACCGCGTGTTATCGGTTGCTTCGGACCGACGTTTGTTATCTTGAAAAGGCAACGGAACAACGCGCGCGCGACTGTCGACGAACGCCCGTGCCGATGGGAGACACGGTCGAATCTCTTTTCTTTCTGTCTCTCGAGCGAGAATCGATCGTGCCACGTCATCGATTTCGAATTTCGTGCGCCGATGGTGTGTGCCAGCATCCGCACTTTCTATCCACTCTATCCAGTCGACGGTATGGGAAGGGGAGAAGGGAATACGAGAGGACCCGAGTCGCTTAAAGGTCCCACGAGCGGCGTGTTATCGGGTCGCGTCGTTTTATTGTTTCGCTGCGGATGAAGGCCTCATACTTTTCCTTTCCTCAGGTCTCTTTCGTATTTTCTTTCGCCATTCCCTTCGACAGCGCCTCTATATCACTCCTCTGTCTTCCCACCTCTTATCCTTCTCGCGAACTTTTTTGTCATATATCTCGCAACGGAAACGCCGCGATTAATCTTTGTCCGGGCACGTTCGGCTGTTTTTCTTTCTCCGTCCTTTTATTTGCCTTGTATTAAATTTTCTTAGCCGCGGGAAAATTTCTGATTTTACATGTAATTTTTCCTTATTAATATAAACGTGTCATTTCTCGTGTTCTTTCTTTCAAGATATTTATAATAAAGTTAACTCATTAAAACTCATTTCTCGAAGTCTCATCGAGAGTTTTCACTTGTGTAACTTGGGATTAGAAAATTTAAAACAATCGCATTTCTCTTTCTCACTGTGTATTGAAATAAAAAAAAAAAAACATTCGGTGATAAAAATCTGCGAGCGTCAGAGATAGATCGCCACTTAAGCTGTTGAATTAATCGACTGTTACAGAGGCCTGGAGCACGAGAACGTACTGCTGCCAACAGGACGGCTGCAATTCCGGCCCGTCGTTGACAGCGTCGAACAGCGCGTTTCTGATCCTGGCGATCTCGCTGGCGGTCCTCATCATGTGCCGAGGCCTTCGTGGCTAATACGTCGTCCAGCAGGAGGACGGAGGATCCGCGCCAAGAGCGTCTCACCGGTGCCGCATAGGTCCTTCAATCATAAAACTTTACACAGGGGGTTTGGGAAGAGGGAACGTAGCACTTGAGACGTTTGCGCCGAATGATCGGGATTTCCTACAAGCGGATAGAACACGAATACGTCGATGGTTGCCGATATTTGGTCCTTCGATTTTTTCGTTCGACTAAAAAAACCTCCCACGTTATTTGTATAAAACACTTTCGTGCCGTATATGTATCAACGTGTGCTTTCTCTTTTCCGACGTTAATTGTCGTTCGATGATTAATTCCAGCGTTTGTAATCAAAATCACGATGAAGTTTGTAGTAATCAGCGAGTATTGCGCAAGTCGATGTGTGTCATTCACTAATTGTTGAGATAATTGAAAAAATTCTATTGACAGCTACCATAAGCTGGGAAAATCGCGTTGATGTGCTGTGTTCACCTGTTGCTTTTGTCAATCATCAGGTTGATTGATTTTCGTTTTATTATTATAGCGCCGGAGAGTGTAACGTTTTCTGCAAGTTAACATCTCATAGATATAGCTACTATTCATATAGTTACTTCGATTATATAGTAAACATTTCTCTCCGCGCGTGTATTCATTGTTTTCCAATATTTTGTTTATTTGATGTTTTTTTTTTGTTTTATTGGAAAAAGATGATTCAATTTCAAATAGCTTTATTGCAGACATTCAGTTTTGCGAATAGAGTGTGTGTGAAAACAAAGTAATCGAAAATTTCAAACACGTGAAGAATAAATATTGTATCGAAGAGAGAGAGAGAGAGAGAGAGAGAGAGAGAGAGAGAGAGAGAGAGAGAGAGAGAGAGAGAATCAGGATTGTATTCTCGAACAATAGTCTTTGCATTAATGAAGACGCCACGTGTAGCAAATTTACATCTTCTATTTTGGGGGCGTCGGTATCCCGTGCGTCATACAATCAGGACCGAGTCAATTCAGCGAACACAAAACGTACTTGCTAAACTCGGCCGAGTTAAGCGACGCGGAGGAATCGGCTCGTTAAATCCCGTTGCGTTATCGCGCGCCAACTTATCTCTTTCTCACTTCCTCGCTTGCTCTATTAAATTCGCACGCTTCCGCATACTTTCTCGGATCGGTTGCTTTGATAGAAAAGTTTCTGATTTGGTTTGATTGAAACTTCGTTTGGCGAATTTCTTTCTTATGGAATTGAAATTCCACACACGCACACACACACATAGTTGACGTATTTAGCGCTCGCTTGTCAAAGGAAAATCATCGTAATGAAGTTCTACGATGTTTCTTTGATAAGATATGATATATTGCATCGGTGTATCCATTCAATCTTATTCTTCATGGAATCTCGCTAGAAAGTCTGAATTCTTGAAAAAAAGAAGAAACAATTTCAGATCGTTGAATTCTCTATCTTTTCAATATTGATTTACATTAAGAACAAGAATTTTGAAAAAAATTCTCATATTTACGTTATAAAAAAGCATATTCTGTTAAATCAGCACCCGAGTGGAAAGTTACACGCAGGACCCTCCGTGTCGATCCCTCAGCGTTAGGATTTGTTTTCTCGGATCTTTTCCCGTTGAGAGTACGACATTTTGTCGGCGGATTGAATTTATTCAAAAAGTTCCGCCGTTCCATTTTTCGTCAGGAATTTTATCGACGCTTCTCCCGCCGCCTTTCCTGTCCACCCGCTTTTCCCCGGTACATGTGAGTTTAATAACATCGGGACGCGGCCGGTGGGCAGGTCGGCGGGAACGAAAAAGCGACGGTCGAAGAGCGCGATAGCCGATATATCAATATTTCGAACGCATCGCGTCGCGCGATCTGGCTCGACTTTCGTGAATATTTCGATGCGCCACTGACAGCGGACTTTTCGTTATTAGCGCTGCACTTCTGCAAGTCACGCCATGCAAGAATATCGCATTGTTTCATTATTATCCTATTAAAGTGTGATCCTTTCAAATTTTCCTGAAACTCACGTCGAAGAGAATATTAAACAGTCGACCTATTTAAAACAAATTTAAATGTTCGATAAACGCTTTCAACACTATAGACGCAAAATAATTTCTAAAACAAAACAAAAAAAAAGAAGAAAAAGTCTTTCCAACCCTGTTTGAACAGTCTCTATAAAGTTTATAACAGCGTTAGAGTGTGGCATATATTTAATGTGTTTTTAAATTTCCAAAGTGTGAAGAGCGCTATTAAAACTGACACGCCGATGAGACTACAAGAATATCGGTGGCGTGTATGCGCTTTATAAATGAGTTATTGATGCTCGAGATGCGGCGTCAGGATGAATATTGTTCGGGAACGTTGCTTTTTTTTTCATAGGCATCTTTTTTAAAGCTGTTGAATCCCTGTTGATCCTTTTGACATTGAGACGCTTATCGATTGTATCGTGTATTTATACACGACGCATCTTTCATTATGAGAAAAAAAGCGATGCGACGAGAAAAAGGATTTGACCTTCTGCGACCCAGTTTTTTGCATCGTCCGAGCGAAGCCGATTATTGTCTCAAAGATGAGCTTTATCACATCGAAAAGAGAAAGCATGCGGCACAAGATGAAATTCAAACTCGTTTTTGCTTGTATATCTTCCGTCAAGTTTTGCCATTTCCTGCAGTGTACATAAATATTTCCCGACGTATAAGGGAAGAAATGCTCCCCCTCCGAGTCTAAAAATGCGAAAAATAAATTATTCATACCGTTGAATCTGAAATTGGATGCATTATCTACCGAGAAAATGCATTTGAGAACTCCGGTTCAATTTTCTTTCGAGAAAACAAGTATTTTAAAAGTTAATTCTCTCTTTCTCCTTGTACATATATATATGTAGATACATAAATATCTCTATAACAAACGACTATATTTCCCGATATTTCGTTTCTTTCATGACGGGAGTATCGCGCGTGTTAAAAAGATCCTAATCAATGGTTCGAGTGGAGTACGTAACATAAATGGCAATAGGATGTCCTGACATATCCCGTGTTTCTTTTGGGCCACTTTAGACGGATAATGTTCTTCACAACACAACGCGCAGCCGCGATTCGCTACGAGCGAAGGAGCATCGACAGCTCGACGGCTCGGAGCGGAAGGAAAACCACGACGATGTTCTCCGCGCAAAAGCCGGTTATCAATACATTGGACCATACTCGTTGTCAATGACACGCGTTTACTAAAAGACCGAGTTATATCGCGCGGGAGCTGAATCGGCGGCAGCAACAACAGCGAACAGAGGGATGTTGCTTCTGTCGCACGACACCTCGTAGCCGTAAGACACACACAAAAATACGGAAAAGAAAGCGAAACAAAAAAAAAATGACGGAAGAACAGAAGAGGATTGAATAAGCAAATATAACGTGGTAAAAAAAAAAATCTACATACAGATAACGTTTAACAGAGGAACAGTGAGGATAATAATATAATGATGTTATTATTACTATTATTATTACTAATTACTATTACTACTATTGCTACCATAAATTATACAAATTACTATTGAACTACTGTGCATCACACCGAGTACATACATTACATATATGGTAGTTTACAATCGATTAGGCAAATGCGAAACCAGAGGAGTCGAGTCGACTAATTATGTAAACCGCTTTATAAGTAGCCTTATAAATTGTAATTAAACTGCGTAAAAAAGAAACGAGCGAGAGAGATAAAATATATATCTATGTGTTTACACCGGGTGACGCGAAAGATGACAATGACGTGTCTTTGTTGCATCTTTGAGGTTTCGACAAAAGTAATTATCTAACTTTTACTATCGGATAGAATAACAAAAACACTTTTTTCTACATCTAATTTCAAATAAATTTTTATCAAAAACGTCTGTGAAAGATATGAAACGCAATAATTTACGCGAAAGTATAACTTCATTCTCTCGCGGCTGGTGATACACGATTAACATTTCTTTTTTTTATTCTAAACGTTATGTGCAAATTTAATTATTCCGTTTTGCTCGCTAGAAATAACCAAGAAAGGAACTTTGTCCGGTTCCTACTGCATTAATTAATTACATACATCCAATACATATATTGAAATCACGAGCAGGGGTAGGTGAGAGAGACTTAAAAAAATAAAAATAAAAACAATTCCTAAACAATTTTAGAAAAAGAATTCATCTTAGCGAGTAAGAGCAGAGCGCGGTTAGAAGATAATCCGTTGTCTGTTCGCAGAAAGAAAAAAAAAACGTTTATAGATGAACAGCGCAAGCCTGACAACACGAACATGCGAAAGACATCGCAAAGACATCTCCGATATAGAGACGGTCGCCAAACACACATATACACGTGTATAAGTGTGCATTCCGAAATATCCGAATAATTAAAAACCACTTCGCGATCAAAAATGAGTAATGACTGATGATGAATAATCATTGTTCGTCGCAAACGAATACTAAATATTTTTATTCGCACATAATTAAAAACGAATAATGAATATTCTTATTCGTTGTTTGCGCGAATCGTTCAATTATATACCGTCGTCCTAAAACGCCGTCTCAGTCTTCTCGTCTTTCGTACGTCTTCCGGACTTTCTCGTTGCTCAGGAAACGAACTACCTATCTCGCAACGTAGAGGCAGACGATTTATCTAACGTTAGCACGAATTTATATATATATATATATATATATAGGATAACGTTAAAGCTAATCTATCTATCGGACGTCGCGTCGGGCGATCAAAACCGTCGATTGTTATTGTTGGAAAAAGAGAGAGATGTGTGCGTCGAGGTATAGTAGCCGTTGTGGCGGTTGCGGCCCGGAATTAATGATTGACGGAGCGGGAGCGCCAGCTCGCATCGACTTAGTATAATTAGCGCAGGATCGATATAATCGTCTCCTCTCCCGCGACGATTAATACCCCGATCGCAAAATCGCACGAGCCGCACGCGCGATTAGGCGCTACCGCGGAGATTGCATCGACGGTTGGTGGCTGGATTATATCGAGAGACTTCAGGTCACTTGATCCAATTCATTCAGCTGCCGATCGGGGGATTTATTCGTCGCCGATACGTCTTGCTTAAGCCTCGTCGTATACTTTTATAAACTAAGATGCATCAACGCATTTTCCCCTTTCCCCTTTCCCCTTTCCTTATAAATTGATCACTATCACTTGCGGTTTGACAATTACTTGACTCATTAATCTCTTAACTCATTGTTCTTGCGACTTCTACCCTTAAAGCTCGTAATTGTAATTTTATTAATTAATGTATATTGTAATTTTATTGGAATCAAACGATACGTGGTAATATTTTGTTAATTGTTGTTTGACCGATTATGATAAGTTAAATGGTAAACGTCTCTCTCGACAAAGATATTTTGATAAATGTCTCAGTGAAAAAACATACAAAATTACTCTTCAAAAGCATTTCGTCAGAGAAATAAATCCTCTCTCTCGAATCACATTTCGCTCTGAAAATTTGTAGAAGTTAACGTACACGTTTCTCACACTAAATAAAAATAATAAATAAAAAAATAAAAAAAAAAACAAATTATACACAGACGCGCTGACAGGACGCACAGAAATCTTTCGAATGTTCACATCGTAAATGATTCATAGTTGATTTCTTAGCACTTAAGGATTTTACTATATATATATATATATACATATATACATATATATATATATATATACATATATAT